TACATTTTCCTTGTTTCTCTATGTCCTGATTCTGTCCTTCATAATTTATTTTCCTTTCCCTCTTCTCCCTCTTCTTCTCCCTTCTTGACCCCTTCTCTCTCTAATTCTGATCCTCTCTTCTGTAATCCTCTCTTCTGTTTCTTCCTAATGCTATAATTACTTTTCAAACTATTCTTTTTTTTAGTTGTTTTTCAGATCTTAAATTTTTCACTCTCTTTCCCCTTCCCTTTCTTTTCCCCACATAGAAATACTTGGTCATTGAAAATGGCTTCCTCTTTGTCCCGCCCTTCTTGTTCTACAGGCATTTCTTGTTGTTTCTCATAGTTCAGGATCTCCATTTCTAAAAATTTGAAATATGAAGCCAAAAGAACCTCTTCCTTCTTGTGCATCTTTTTTCTGTTTTTTAAGTTCCATTCTCAATTCTTCCAAGAGTGATACCATTTTAAATTTTTTTAAACAACCACCCGATTGATTTTGGTCCTTTAGATCCAATAGCCAAAAATCCAAAAATCACCAAGTAATCCAAATAATTCAAAGCTGTTTCTTCTTGCTTCTTTTTTCCACTTTCTCTTCCTGGGGTCCTCTTATCTTGTTACAAAGTTTCAGTTAAAATGTATCTTTTAGGAATCTTGTTAAAGTTTCACTGTTAATTCCTTTCACTTCCAGGTGGTCTCCTCCATTTTTCCAGATCCCACCCTTTTGTTTTTTTTCCTTCTTTTAAAAGTTTTTGAGAATCCAGAAATCTTTATTATCCCTTTGACATTTTATTTTCAGCTTAAATACCTGTTAATGTCAAAGTGGATTTTTGCCGATTTCTTGCTTAAATCTCTTAGTTGTCAATATAGGGAAGAAAACAAAAAAACCCAAATCCTTTCCCTTCCCTCTCTCATTCGCCGCTTCAAAGTCTTCTTTGGGAACAATGTTGTTCTTTATAATTCAAAATCCAGGGTATCTTGTATTGTTGTTTTTCCAGTTCAACCCGATCAGCCAAAAACTTTCTCTTCTTATCTTCCTCCTGCACATTCTTTTCTGGTTGAGTTCTTCTTTGAGATGGCCATTTCTGACTACCGCTGTAACTGCCTTCGGGAAAGGGAGTAATGGCCAGCTGGGAAGGAGTGATGCGGCTTTCCTCGACCCTGCTGGCAGTCTCCCCCCTCTTTACCACCTCTACAGGATGGTTTAGCCCCGAAACCAGCTGGCTCAGGGTGCTCCAGCGGCAAGCACAGATCGAAACTGCGCACAGTTGCAGATTTTGGTCTGTCACCGAAGAAGCTCAAAGATCTCCATCCAATCTCTTCTTAAAAACTTCCAGTGTTGGAGCATTCATAGCTTCTTGAGGCAAATTGTTCCTTGACTCACATCCATTCATTTAGTGACTGTTCAAAGTTACACCACCACTGAAAAAGGACTTTCTGTCTTCCAACTTACAACTGCTACAGCATACCCAAGCCGTATGATCAAAATTTGAATCCCTGGCAACGAGCATATATTTACGATAGTTGCAGCATCCCTGAGTCACGTGATCACCATTTGTGACCTTCCCAGCTGGCTTCTGGCAAGCAAAGTCAGTGAAGGAAGCCAGATTTGCTTAAAGTCCATGTGATTCAATTAATAAAAACTGCAGTGATTCATTTAACATATATGGCAAAAAAGATTGTAAAATTGGGCATGACTCACTTAGTTTTGCTTAGCAATTGAAGTTTTGGACTCAACTGCAGTCATAAGTTGCAGACTACCTGCACTTTAAATGAATCAGAGACTTGTTTAATGTAAAGAAAAACACTTATCATTTTTACATATTTTACCATACAGTCTTATCAGCTTACTACCGGGAAGCCATTAATTGAAATAAGATGGAAAATCTGGTTCAAGAGTCTCACACATACAAATAGGATTTTTTTCTTCTTTTCAGCCAAGATGAAATGAAAATTTTAGCCTGCATCTCTCAAAGAATCATATCAATGACAACAGATAGGCCGTGTCATTGTGGAGGAGCTGAGTGAGTGAGTGACTTCAATAGCGTGTGGGATCTGGAATCTATCTCTATAGGAATAGCTTCTTTAGCAGAGTGGCAACTGTGATTAGCATAGAAATGTCTGACGAAATAAAGACAGAGTGAAATCCAGAAATGAAAAATAGATTATCTGCTGTCAGAGAAAACAACAGACAAGAACCAAAGACATGGTTATTCTAGGTGACAAGGCATACATAGCAGGAAGGAAGCTGAAGAATGAAAATGTGATGGGGAAACAATGAGAGTCTCCAGGCACCTAAAGTAGAGAAGAATCGTATTAGAGATTGTAACTGGATCAAAAGTTGGATAAAAAAGCTTCTACAAAGTTTACCAGAGGGACAAAAATTTATTAGGTAATGATATAAGATACACATCCGGGGGAGGCGGGGGGAACCTCCACTGTTCGGTGGATGAAGAAAATAGAGAGTTAGCATTTAGATCTGTGGTGAAGATGAGGAGACTCTACAAAGTCAACAAAGGAAAATGTTACGGGGCTGACCCACATCCTTATGTTTCACGGGGTCAGGAAGCCAATGTGTATGCAATTCAACAGCAGCCCTACTATGCTGGGTACTGGAGGTTGAAAATCTTACACGCCCTTCTTTTCCTTTTTGGCAGTAAACATATTGTAGCAGTAAATTAAGTGAGTAAGTTTGCTGCTTCCTTATCAGGACATATATAAATAGTCAACTCTGGAGACTAATTCAATCAAAATGTGTTAATGAAAATATTTTCTCTTCCTTTAGGACTGCCAGAAAAGGCACCGGGTGCAGGGATGATTAATTGTTGTTTGTGGAGCTGCAGTTCTGAGCTACTGCTAAGTTCTTGGTGTTCTTTCTCTCTAAATAGCTTCATCTCAGAGGAATTAAAAATACTGATGTTCGTTCATGCACAGTATGATGTAATTCTATGAATATACCTTCATATGATTAGATCAATATAAAGTATTTACTGATAAGATGTGAATTTTCCAGACCTTTCCAAAATGGATTTTACCTTGGCGATAAGCCCTCACCTTCAATGAGACACTTCCCATATTTACAAAAATCCAACCTAACATAGGATAATCAAATTTATCATTTTAGAATTTTCCTTGGTGTAAACATGTGCTTCATACAATGATATGCAAATGGGTAACTTTTGTTTTCATTTTATTTAAACTGTACTGGATATTTCCAAGGCTTTCCCTTCACAGAAAAAAACTTTGCCTTCTTCTTTTAGAATATACCTGTACTCAGGTGAAGTCAAATAACATCTTATGCTTTCTTCCTAGTCCAGAATTTTCTATCTCATGGCTTTCCAAAACTGACATTTTGATTTGTGTCTTCCTAAAGTTTTTTATTCCCAAGGAGTATAGAGAAAGCATTAGTAGCTCTGACTCCTATAATATATCTTGCCAGATCTTCCAAATTTGTTTGTGCTCCCCACTCCACCTCCTCCTTGTAGCACTCTTTCAGTATCCTTTACTTCTTTCATCTCCACAGTTGTGCTTCTCATTGGGAAAAAAGTAGGATGAATTGTGATGATATAACTCAGTGTACTAAGCCACTTGCCTGACCATATAATCACTATAAGGGAGAGATGTATTATAACTGTATTAGTTTTTGTCTAGATTAATGAATTGTATGATTGCACAGCCACGAAATCCCAACTGCATGAGATATTGTAAATACAAGGATTTTTTTTACTTTTTAAGATACCACAAACCTTAAAACTTTAAATCTTTTTAAATTGCTGCTGCCAAAAAATAACATGATTCATATATTGGACATAAGAACAAGGTAATTGTTTCAGGCTTCATAGAAATGTCCTATGGATAAAGCAGCAAAGTCTCAGGACTCAAGGTCTCAGTTCCATAAAATATCTCATAGTCAACAAAAGCTGAACATTACACCAGTGCATTCTGAAACCTGAATGAGCAGAGTTGTATTAATCTTTCAAAGGTTGTGGACCACAGAGCTACAGCACAATTTTCAGTCAGTTTTGTGCTAACTTGGTTGGTTCAACAGTATTATCTTGCTGGTTCTAATTAATACTGTTGTATTCTCCAAACCTAATGATGTTTAGGGATCTTTCTCTTTCAATCCCTTATGATTCTGGTCATGGCCATCCACAGTTCATCTCAAGCACTGAATCCATATTTTTGTGGTTTTATCTGAAACTAGAGAAATTTGAACTCCCCCCCCCCCAACACTGATGTTTGTAAAAAGTCTATTTTTCAATTGGTTTTCTCTTGTTTTATTTGGCTTTTCTTACATGCTAAGCAAAGTGTGTTCTTGCTTAGCATGTGCTGTGACCTAAAAGCAACCCAATTTTAGTTCTTTGAATCAGTTTTACTTCCAGGCATGTACTCTGTGATCCTCCAGCTGATGGTTGGGTCAGTTGTAGCCACTAACTGCAAGAAATCCTACCCCCTTGTTTTACAACAATGAGTCCTGTTCTGGAGTCTAACTGACAGGAAAGGAAATCGTTTAGTAAATGGCAGCAGATGTATGAAAAAGTATTTTTGAAACGATTCCATTATATTGGAGAAGCATTCATTTTCAAACAAAAAGTAATCATATCATATCACTTAAATGTTCTCTTTATAAGTTTATCATTCCTTCAGGCTACAACTCTTTCCTTGTTCCCTGCCTGAAGGAAAATAATCAGAATGACAAAGTTCAGAGGCCTTCTGGGAATAATGTTGATCAGGGGCATCACTGCAGGCAATAAAAAAGGTCACAACCACATGATTGGAGCCACAACCATATGATTGGAGTCTTGTCTCTTTTTACATGTGTTATAGGAAAAGAACATTAAAAAGGGTCAGGACTTCAATTATATAGTTTGGACTGCCAATCTGACTTTTTTTTTAACCTTCTGCCCTGGAAACCTCTGAGTTGAGCTCTGTGGTAGCTCCAAAATTCATACTTTAAAGAATAGTTTAAAGCAAATACATTAGGAACTATAATGAAACTAATTAGAAAAGGATGGACATTTCTACCTTGGTAAAAGTCAAACAGTCTTTGTCTTGATCTTTGTCCTTTATTTCAAAGTCATAAAGTGCTTTGCCTTGTGGAGGGGCTGGTGGAAGAGGCTTGATACACTGGATGTAGCTTGCTGGGAAAAAGCCATGATTTCCATTCAGTTCCCCATGATACCAATTCTCATCTACTTTTCTGCGCAGTATAATAAGGTCTCCTTTGTTAAATTTGAGGTCACCGGGTTCTTTCCCTTCGTAGGCATAAAGAGCTTTTCCATAGGGAAGCTGAGTGGGGTTCTGCAATAAAAAAAAGAAAAACACTATGTACTATTATGCAATTAATTATAATATACATTATTGTTACCCTTTGTTGCACATTGCCTTTTTAGCCATTTCTCATCTTAGAAATCACTACGAAATAATTTAGTATGAGGCAACTACAAATCAAATTCTTATTTCCTACACTTGGAGCAAAAAGTGTCTCATACTATTTGCTTATCTGGACACCTATGTAAGAATGTTTCTGTTATATCCAACAGCTATTTTACAAATTGTGACTGTTAATAAGGTAATTATCATTCTCTCTATCCACTATATTTTATGTTTCTCTTCTACAGTGTTTTCAATTTTCTTCTCTTTCAGTGAATGAATTTATACCTGTTTGAAGAATAGCAATTGGAATGTATTTATATTTATCTATAAAATGCAGGTACCTTCGTGTTTAAAAGTGGTCCACACAATGATATATAAAAAGGTTCATATTTGAAATTTTGAATAGCACAATGAATAGAAAACAACTTCTGTACTGCCTACAAATCTAACTCTATTTTTATGAAGTATCAGTCATGGTTGAGTATCTTTAAGTATCTGTATATCAGTATTGGAATACCCAATACAAGTATTATTTTTTGCACAATCAATTAAGTATCATTTTCTGTATCTCTGTTAAGTTGATACAGAAATTTCCCCCTTTTCAAGCAATTCCCTGCTTGTAAGCGAGTTTTCTTCTCTTCCATTGCAAATTAATTGGCCAGTGAATCTCTAAATTAGACAGAATTCCTCTCTACTTTTCCTCTACTTACTCTAATTAAAAAGAGACTCTTAGAGTATGTGGCTTCACATTAAAGCAATTTCTCTACCAAAAACAACAACAACCCATCCCAAGTAATTGATTAGTCTTACTGATTTCCTCTCAGCTTTCTTCTATCAAAAATGTCCATCTATTACAAATGTAGGTTTGTCACATAAATGGAGCACCCATGGAAGTCTCAGCATTTCTTGTATGTTCACATTGCAGAATATGTCTTTATTTGAACTAATCAATGCTGATAAGAGAAAGTGGTCGATTACGTGTACTTTGGGGAAAAGTGAAGTTCTAATGACATGCTGGGGATTCAATCATTGGGCATTTCAGACAAATCAAATGGCAGCACTTAAGAAGCTATAAGCAAACAAACAACAATCACGACGCAATTAAATGGTAACTAGGGCCTTGAAACCAATGAATTGATTGCTCAGTAGAAACCATTGTAAGACATTCAGTGCGTCACTATTTTCTTTCCCCATTCCAAAGCTTTCAGCTTCCAAAGAGCTCTCAGTTGTCTATTCTCTATTATGCACAGTTCCTCTTATCCTCTGGTTCAGTGTGAAGACTTCTCTCAGCATTATTCTATTTTCTCAAAGATTTCTTTTTAAATCGCCAATGCCTCATGTTTCTGTTTCAGCCTATTTTATGCCTTGTTGGCTCAATTTCTTTCTCTCCCCCAGCTTAGCATGTTGCCACTTCTCTTTTTAACATGCTGTGACACTTCTCATTAACCTCCTCCTGTCTCAGTTCCTGATCTCCTTTGAGCTTTCCCTCCCCTCTCTTTTACCTCCCCTTCCTGTTTTTCAGTCCATGGCTTCTTTACATGCTCCATTTCTGAACCTCATGCTTATTAGCTTGTTCTGCATCTTGGAACCTTTTTGTTACAATTTTCACCCTACCACACACATGAGTAACAAGCTGAAGCTCCACTCAGACAGGTAGAAATCCTGTCACTGAGAAATATGCTAAACTGGAGATTTAGGTATTCTCTGGACGGATCCAATATTGCAGTGCCATCATCTACTACAGCAGTAGACCAGGGTACTTTTTCCAGCATTGCTTCAGCAATAGCAATTTTTAATTTATTTGTTTATCTAAAGCAGAGGCCTCCAAACTTGGCAACTTTAAGACTTGTGGACGTCAGCTCCCAGAATTCTCCAGCCAGCCTAGCTGATCAAAAGAGACCTCTGATCTAAAGAATATAATATAACTCAAACTCTGGATAGCTTACAATAGAAAACAAAGCAACAAAAACAATAGCCAATAATAATCAGGAATAGGCAACCATTTGACATTCATACCGTTTCCTGATGAGTTTACTCATTTTAGCCCAATGCTCAGGGGAATAGCCAAGTTTTAAATTTTATTTAAAGGTCAGCAATGTTGGAAACAACTGAACATTGGGGGTGGGAATTATTTCAAGGGCCCCTACAGAAATGGAATGACTTCTGGGTTTCATCAGATGACATTGCCTCAAGGCATGACCTAAAGCATGCACATAACTATTAGTGTAGGTAAGATCAGCAGATATCTTACAATAACTCTATCCTATGCCACGTAGGGCTTTATTGGTGACCACCAGCACCTTAGAATTGCCCTTGGAAAGTGGTAGGAGCCAGTGCAGTTCAGGAAATAGTGGTGTTATACAGGGGTACACTAAAGTAATACGGACAGTCCTTGACTTACAACCATTCATTTAATGACTGTTCAAAGTTACAACTGCAGGGTCATGTGTTACAACTCCCAGGGTCATGTGATCATGATTTGTAACTTCCCAGCTGGCTTATAACAAACAAAGTCAATGGGACAAACCAAATTCAGTTAGCAATTGTATGATTGACTTAACATCTGAAGTGATTTACTTCTGCAATCTGCTGCCTGAGTCTGCACTGAAAAATAGAAGCTTCAATCCTAAGGAAGGTTCAGCTCTGCTCTCAGGCCACTTCTCCCCTACCCCCCCAACCCCCTGAATACCACCCCTGACTGGGCCTCAGGGAAGCCTCCTGGGCGAAGGCAAAGCAATACAACAGTGATTTAGATTAGCTAGAAAGCAGAAATCGGACAGGAGGGGAGGGGAGGGGCCAGCCAGTGGTGCGATTTGGCAGTTTTCCGTACTGCACGGAATCGTAACAACCGGTTCTATAGAACTGGTCCAAACTGGTAGAATCCCACCCCTGGTCTGAGCCTGATGCCAAAGCCATTGAAGAACACCAGACACGAGGTGTAGGCTTTGTTTCCCTTTATTGAAGCACTTCAGAAAAAGGGGCCTCAGCCAATTCAAGATGCCAGGGCCCATAACAAAGGATTCATTAAGCTTTTATGCAGTTTTTCAAGGTGGGATAACAAGCATTGGCATTCTGAAAATTATCTAAAGGCTCCTCTATTGCTCCATACCATACCTATTTCTAAGTCTCAACTAATAAACACTTTAAAAGTTATCTAACCAGTATTATATTGGCTCTGTTTTAGCCCCATTCCTTATCTTAGCAATATGTGTTGTATCATGTCCCTGACAGTCAGCTCTTGCATTCCACGTTGAAAGGGGCCTCACCTGTCCACAGTACCTTTTCCTTATCTTTGTTATGCAGGCCTTGGAAATATACATCTCCTACCTTCCTTATGACTTCATGCCATAACCTTGCATTTTTACAGCAAATGGCCCATCAATAAGCAGGTGTGGAGAGTTTATTTATTATATTATGGTCTGTTGTGTTTAATTTTATTTTTCTTTCAATGGTGTTGTCCAGTTTTACTTGTGGAAGAGCACCTCATTTCGTTGCACCTGCTTGCGAGTGTAATGACAAATAAATTCTTATGTCTTATGTCTTATTTATTTATTATTTTTATTTATTTGATTTGTCAGTCGCTTACAAAATAATAGGTATAAGTATAAACATGAGTAAGAATACAGAAAATAGGTACGATTAAATGGGGACAATAGTTGCAGGGTACCTGCAGTTATAAATGTAGGTGGGCTGCCAAGTTGGCTGATTTTGATACTCTGACTATGAGGACACTACATTGGCTGTAACTTTGGGCATGGGTGGTAAATCCCTTCCGTCACTGCTGTTAGACCGGTTACTGAACAAGTGGTCACAAGTCAACGACTACCCTTACAGTTATATTTTTATTGAACTGTTGTCATTATAAGCAAAATTGACAAACTGCAGCTAAAAACAGCTAAAAATACATTAAATATATAATTAATGTAGCCCATTTCTCGAATTTATTTGTCAGGCTTAGTCCTACTTCTGGTTAGCTTCTGAATCATTATTAGCCAACACAATCACACAAAATGTACAAGGGGAATAAAAGAATAAGATATCCACTTTGTTTGCTCAGCAATGAAACAATAAATGTCAGTACAAGGCATTTATAACAATTAAAACTGGTAATGCTTATTTTGTAGCTCATTACTTGAGGCGCACTGGAGCCATTTCTCATTTTGCAAAGGAATTCAAAGGAGCACCTCCACATTCTGATAGATCCTTTACATAGGCAGACTGGACTAAGGCATATGGTTTCTGTCATGCATTAAAGCTTCTTGGAAAACTCATCAGCTCTATCCAGAAGAGAGAGGGATTTCTTATTTAAATATATATTGAAATAATTTAAACCAGCAGAAACTGAAGGAGAAAATCACAGTACAGTAACTGGTTGAATTGGACCATTCTCAAACAGGTATGTAATCAGGTAGTCCTTACAACAATTCATTTATTGTCCGCTCAAAGTTACAACAGGATTGAAAGAAGTGTCTTATGACTGTTTTTTTCACACTTACGACTGCTGTAGCATCCCCATGGTCATGTGATCAAATGCTTGGAATCAGATGCTTGGGAACAGATTAATACTTATGACAGTGGCAGTGTCCTGGGATGACATGTTCACCTTCTGTGACCAAAACTCACTTAAATGCTTCACTTAACAACACTTAATGTTGGGCTCAATTGTGTTCGTAAGTACTTGTGTTTAGCTACAGCTTACATATTTAATTTCTTTGGACATTTGTGAAGAGAAAGTTCCAATTTAAATGCATGTGGAAATTCCTTCCACATTAAAAGTTTCTTACCAAATGTTCCAAATCATTTATTTGATGTCAAATCGTGTTGCTTGTCAAAGGTGTGCTAACACTGAACATAAACAATCTCTTAAATAGAAGAGCTGTGGCACCAAAGGCTCAGCTTTCCCATGCAATCTTGTCATAATTAAA